CACACTTAACAACTGAAATAAGAAGGGAAAAAAATTGAATACTGAAATAAGAAAGGAACACACTTAAATGCTGAAATAAGAAGGGAACAAACTTAAATGCTGAAATAAAAAGGGAACACACTTAAAAACTGAAATAAGAAGGGAACTTAAAAGCTATTAAAGCAACTAGTTTATATGACGCAACTTTGGGACCTAATATCTTAAACATCCATGTTAAAATTTTTTATTTTTTATTTTTATAATTTCATTTATACTATTATTTTATTATATTTTAATTTTTGGCAAATATAGTTTAATTATAGAACCACATTAATTGTTGAAAATATTTTGGAGTTATGACAAACTAACAATTTAATACATTATTAAAAATATCTACCAGTGCAAAAACATCATACTAAAAAAGGAATCTAAAAGGGTTTGAACAATTTCTACATTAAAAACATTTTGTTTTTACAAAAAAATATTTTCCCTTTTTGACATCAAAGGCATGCAAAGGCCAACAAGATGTTATTAAAACATTATGCAATAAAGAAAAAACAATTATATTTTTACGCTGTAACAGTGAATCATCAAACTTAACAATATTATATGAAAGACCTATTAAAAGTATTTGAAAATGTATCCTGCAAGGCAGTGATTCATTAAATGCATATACAAAGAAAATCACTAGTAAGCAGCTGTAAAGTTTAAACATTTTATCATTAAGCAAACTTTTTTCTTTCTAAAACAAAACAAAATAAAGTTTTGGATGAATGTGCAGACAAGCTTTATGAACTTCAATTATTTATTGAAAATCGCAGTTACTATAAAAGATATAGTTACTATAAAAGAGTCAAAAGTCATGATTAGAAGTACATTGAATGTAACTCATGGGAAGAAACTCTGCAAACTTTGTAAACAAAAGATTGCCAAAATAGGAACAAAGTCAGGGTGAACAAGATAATGAAGACTTTGTAATATTACCATTCAAGTTAAAAAACTGGAGATCATCTCCAAATATATATTTTATACCTTTATATATATATATATATATATATACCTTTGAATATATATTTTCTAAAAACTCATTCAAAATCATCAAAACATATACTCTCAAAAGAGAAAATGTGTTATGAAACAAATAGTGTAAAAAAGAAAGCTTAACACTTTGATGAAATTAGAAGCTTGTTAAAAGAGAAAATTCTCTATTCTGACAATAGAACTATTGTTTAACTTCTCCCACTGGCACCACCAAGTTTGTCAATATCAGAAATGAAAAATAACTTTAAAGTCACAGAATACCAGGCAAAGAAGGCAAGATGGATTTTTATGAAAAAACAAAAAAATGCATGCCAGCACAATGTTATGATTGTCCTGGTAAATTCACCACCTACATGAATGAGATTTAAAGAGAACATGAAGATAATTTTAAGATAAACTGCTAGAAATAGACACAAGCATAGGCACACTACAGATTGTGTAGCACTATTGGGTTTGACAGCAGATCTTCCAACATTTCTTGAACTTTTAGTATGTTGCTTTTAAAATGCTACAAGTTTAATCTTTAATTGCCCACTCTCAATCAAAATACCTTAATCAACTAAAACAAAATATGGATTAATCAAGCATAATAATTATTGGCAACTTTGAAGAAAACTTTGCTTTTGTAGTCCAAGATAAAATACAGAGCTATCCCTGGAACACCCAAAATGTTTTTTACATGTATTATGATATAATATAAAGACGATAAACATATACCAAAGCATATTTCTTACTTTTTTATATCAGCCCATAATATGCTGATATAAAAAATAAAGCTTTAACAATCTATGCCATCTCATGAGTGATTTGGGTCTTAAAACTGAATGAAACCTTTTTTTGATGTCCAGAAAGTCAGAATGAGATGGGATGGGCAGAAGTAATTTTTTGAAAAAACTAGTAATTTTTTGAAAAAACTGGTATAATTCTGACATTATAGTTCTATATGTTATTGTTATTTTTCAAATCAGTTTTTTTTCAACATGTAAGATTATAATTAACTAATAATATTGAAAGCAAAAAAAAAAAAAAAAAAGCGGGAATGATTTTGAGATATTGGGCTCCAAAGTTAAGTCATATAAACCAGTTGTTTTATTAATTTTCAAGCTTGTTCCTTCATATTTTAGTATTTTAAGTACACTTATTGAATTAAACATTAAAAAATTACAAATGTTTATTTTTATTATTTTATCATATTTGTTATTTATTATAAATGTTATTTGTTATAAATGTTTATTTTCATATTTTAGCCATTGGTTTTTCTTATTTAATTAGGAAAATCATTTTTTTTTAATGTCATAAAAGGGTCATTTTAGGAAGCAATTTTAAAACTGACATGTCTCGTCAACTGCTCAGCATTTTTAGCTGAAATTTTGCATGCAATGCTTTTTTATAAACAGCAACCATATGTCATAAGAAAAAAGAAAAAAGAAGAGACATGGTTCAATGAACTGGGAGATTTGATGTAGAATTAACCAACAGCAGTTTAAGATTGCTGGCAATATTTTTCCTAATAAATAGATAAGCCATTATAGATTTTTGTTTAACATTCATTAAAAGATAGCTTATACATCTGGTATATGAAATACTATGCCATGTAATATATTGTGTGACATTAATGCCAATGTATTACAATGTAATACAGTGGATTTTTTTCATCTCTTAACTGTGCACTCATTAGAGAGAAAATACGCTCTACATTGGCATTATGAGGCGCAATAGAAAACATAAACTGACATATACATAAAGTTTCTGAATACTCTTTGATGTTTTCACAAAGTTTTGTCAAACCCATTTATTCATACAAAAGCATTTTTAACTTTTTCCATTCCGTTGATTTTTCAACCTTTTTTTACAACACTCATTTGATTAAAGAGAAATTACTCATTTAATTTAACTCTTATATCTTGGAGAAACTTACAAGTAATTTCGACTTTCTCTCGCGCAGGTTCTTCTGAAGGTAACATCCATGAAAATAAGGTTATGCTTGAAATTGTTTCCTTCCACATATAAAGATAATCGTATGCAGTTTAGTAAAAATCATTAATTTCATGATTAAAATTTGACATATTAATCTTTTAGTTGTCTCATTTTTTATATTGACTGTTATTGACATTAACTTATCTTGACAGAAAGTTTTCATCTTGTCTTTCTTTAACGATTGTTAGTGTCTCTTCCAATCTCAAATAAACTTCAAAGCAACATATCTTGTTTCCTTTGATACTTTTAATTCCTTTTTTAAATACATGTAGATGGCAGTTGATAAAAAATAGGAAAGCTTCACACAAAGGATGATTAAAAAAAGCTAAAATGGCTTTTGGAGCTTTTTCCTCTGAAAGAAAAAGCAATTTTATTACAATAAAAATATTAAATACTTGTTCTACTGCAAGTTGCAATGAAAACCGAAAACCAACGTGTACATGAATGTAAAAAAATATTTTGATATTGTACTTTATTAGAACCGTGATTACTAGCATCTGTTGCAATTCCAATAAAATTGTATTATTCAATAAATATTTTAATGTTTTGAAGAAAATGTGGAGCAATAAATGATTTAATTAAAGCATTGGTTTGGGTTTGTGCTGCTGAAAACTTAATTTCAATTATTAAATCTAAATACATAACTTTTATTAACTTATTGTTGCAATCTGTACAATGAAATGAATAATGGTGTTTGACAGTGTCAATTCCGTTGCATATATCTTACACTCTTCATTGGAGCTAGGTTTAATAAAAAAAGAATCAACTTTTTTTGAACAACTTCCAGTTGATATTTTTGATATGTTTTCGTGATTTCAAATGATCTTTAATATAAGCAAGAACACAGTGCAAAGTTTTTTTATTAAAAAAATTTTCCTTCACTGATTTAGCAAAGTTAAAATAGAACATGCGAACACAATAAAATTCAATTATAAAATTCCATTGCTTAAATTTTATGTATCTAGGTTTGTTTATTTATATGTTTTTTACACCTGTTTTGTAAAGCTAGAGTGGCCAATATGCTAACCAAGATGGTTAACATGTTAGTGAATAATTTTTTTTTTTTTCCAAAAGCAAACTGTTTCAAAACTGGGATAATTGACTTCATGAAAACCTTTTTCAGGACGCTGGGACAGTGCACCTAAAATCAGGACAATCCCAGAAAACCAGGACAACTAGTCACCTTTAGTATGTATACTGTATGACTACCTTTTTTACTCTATATCTCCTAAAACCCTATTTCTTTAGCAAAAACATTGATTTTACAAGTTTACAAAATCAATATTATGCCATGTAACAGAGAAATGTCAAGTTAACTAAAAGTTTTCTTGTATTTAATTTTTTGAAAAATTGTGTATTGGGGAAAGTAAGGGGAATTGATTTTGTAAAAATAATAGTCAGCATTCAGCAATGCCAACCTAACTGCTGACCTCAAAGTGTTTGAGGTCGGCAAAAAATTGCTGACCTAGTTTCTATGTTTTATGGTAAGACCTTTGAATCAAATTTATTTTGCTGACCTAATGCCGACCTTTTAAAATTGAGGTCAACAAATTATTGCTGACTTCATTTTTCCTAATTCCAAGGGTTGTGCATACGTATGCATAGGTACCCCTAATCAATATAACTTATTCCAATCAAACATTGAAAGTGTCATTAAAAATTTATTATGATTTTTTCTGCCTGATAAAAACCTAATCTAATTTTATCAAACAATAAACATTTTTTATTTTTTTACTTTATAAATATAACACAAATAATATAAAAAACTAAAATTAAATAAAAAATTGCAAAATAAAACTATAATAACAAAAGTAAACATCAAAATTATAAATTAGGAAAACTATAGGCATAAACTTATGGGCTATCAGAATTGTTTTCTTGCATCCTGCAACATAAAGGACACAAAAAACACAAAATTGTTAAGATTTTCAAAAAAATCAAACTTTTCATATTAAATTAACAAAATTTAAAAAAAGTTAAAAAAAACAAACAAAATAAAATACCATCTTATAAATAGCTTCTTTAATAGAGAAGGAGCGCGATATAAAGGCAAACAGCACAACAAGGTTCCCAAAATTACTAAAAATCTTCCTCTTGGTAAACATCCAATCAGAACATTTCGTGTTTCCTTTTTACTTCTGACAAATAGCCCACATTTAGATTCATACAAGGGTATTTTTTGGGGCTTGTATTTAATTAGTAATTGAAAATAATACTCAACTTCTTTTTCATATTTTTCCATTTCACTATCCCATTTTAATCTATTGTTAGTATAGACTTCAGCATTAGGTCTAATCATAAAATTTTTTTCAAAATTAAATTTTCTAACTAATTTTTGGACACGTTTTTTTTCCATCACATGAAGACACTCTAACAGATACTTAACTTCATCTTCAATATCATTATTTGTAAACTTTGTCAAAAGTTTTTCTATTGATTCAATATATAGATGCATTTGAGAGATTAAAGCAGCCTTTAATTTGGTATCGCCTGAGTCTTCTTTTATTGATAATAAAAGAATTTCATTTGTTAAGTTATAAGCTATGTTTCTTTTATAGATAATATCAGGAATCCATTGTACAAACTCACAAGTTAATCTATATTTTTTATGGTCCTCATCTTCAAGAATTTGAACCCATGCTTGTATAGGTCTTAGAAATATTAAAATAAAAAAAAGCAGAATAAAAAACAAATCTACAAAAAAACGAAAAGTCTGGAAGTATACTGTTACAGAAAATACAAGAAAAAATGGTCCAGAAATAAGTGATGAAACAACTTTAGATGTTCTCAAAAATGTCAAGAGCAAAAACAAACAAAGTGGAATTGCAGGAATGTCCACTATGAGCATTAAAAAATGTACTACAATTGTCTTTCTAAGCTTCCAAATTAACTTTGACTGAGGTAAACTTTTTTTATTATTTTTAATTTCATTGTTCTCATCTTTAAGCTTTTCTGTCTCTTTTTCTCTATGACTTGGGACAGTTTTACTTAAATCTGACAACTCATTTAAAATTTCATCATTCATTGCTAGTTTACTTTCTTTATTTTCTTTTGTGTTTATAGAATTTTCACACAACTTGAGATATATTTTTTTTATATCTTTAAATAATGGGTATGATCTCCAAATGCTTAAGCAAACAATTACCATTAAAAAAGCACATATCAAATCAACAAAAACCATACAAAACTCATAAATACATGCTTGTCTTAATAAAAACTCTTTTTTTGTAAAACTTTTATTTGATTGTGATGATGATGATATATTTTTAGTTCTATCAAACAGGCTTTTTGCATGGATAACTGTACCAAACACAAACCCAGCTGCAATAATACACGGAATGTCTATGAATATATATAAAAACTGTAGAATAAGTGTTTTCCGTATTTTAGATAGAACATTCTCATCATAAATGCTACCTCTTTTAGATAATCTTTTAGACAACTTCCTTAATAATATTGGAAATCTCCATGTTACAATAGTTAATAACATTACAATTAAACAAGGAACATCCAGCATTAAGAAATAAAACTGATAAATTCCGGAAAATCTTATTTTATTCCAGCTTTTTCCTTTACTTATTTTTATCTTTATTTGTGCAATTAAAAAAGGTAACCTCCATGAAACAATTACAGGAATAAAACATAATAATAAAGGAATATCTATTAATACTTGCAGAAACTCTACAAAACATGTTTTTCGTTTTTTCCATTCACTTTTGGCCTCAAGAACTTTTTTTATAAATATAACACTTCTCCATGAAAGCAAACAAATAATGGCTGAGGGTACACAAAATCCATCAATAAAAAGAATGAAAAAATGCTTCACAACAACACCATAAGGTTCAAAGCCAATAAAATACACACCATAATGTTTCCATTGAAATTTCCAATATGATGCAAGTTCTTTTGCACAAGGAACGACTCTTATAAGAGTTAGACATATAACTACACCCATTATAAAAACTGGGACATCAATGAGAAATATTAGCAGTTGAATTAGACCCATGAGTCTCCATTCCCAAAAACTAGACAAATCTTTTAATTGAGCAATCATATATGGAAGTCTAAACACTGTGCAACATGCTAGTAAACACAGTATCAATCCAAGTAAATCAAGTAACCTTAAGACTATGAAACGTACAAAAATTGCCATTGACCAGAATATTTTTCTGATAATAAAAGCAATACAATCAACTATTTCAGACATTTCGAAATTTTTGATCAGTAATAAGAAATATTTTATATTTGATTTAAAGTCATTGTAGAAGCAAAATTTAATTATTAGTTATTGAGCACGATTCAGCACATTTTTTAAATATGATTACCATTGTTACAGAAAAATCAAACAAGTTCATTTAATTTTAACAGCAGAACTGTGTTATTGGTATTATAAGTACACAAATAAATACTTATAAATATTATCATAACAAAGTCATTTAACCAATCACAATAAGTTCTCGTAACTACACTATTAAAGGTTGGTTTCCATATTAAGTTTCACGAAAGTCGTGCAAAATGACAGAAACTTTTATAAGTTTCTTACTTTCAAAACCATATAATATTTATTTAATATTTTATTACGCTATTTTTTTATTTTATTTTATTAATTTCTACCGTCTAACATATTTTGAAATCAAAATAAGAAACCGGTTGAATATATAAAAAAAACCAAAAGTAAGTCTAAGCTCCCAGTTACTGTCTGAGTGTATATACATCTACTGAAGGTTTAGTTTGAACAGACAGCTTATTTTAAGGATAGACTTAGTAATAATAATAACTAAGGGTTGGTTTAGGCAGTCTAATAGTTTAAATAAACTGTTATCAATTTTCAATTCTACTATAAAAAATAATTCATTTTCAGTTTTAAATACCCGCAATTCAGATTTTGCTATAAATTGCAATCCGTATAATAAAAGAATTTATTTTTTAAAAAAGCAATACAGCAATTAAGTTGAACAACAAAAACTTAATAACTAGCAAGAACCTTTTCTTAGTCTTTTTGAGCTGGTTGTTAAACTCTAAGGTCTGTATTTTATAAACTCTTTGATGTGCTATATCTTAGAAAGGAAGGATTTTTTTTATATGGTTTTTACATATTTTCTGTAACCTTGACAAGCTTTTTTTTTAACACATAATTTTTGTTTTAATTTCCAACTTTTTTGCTGACTCATGCTCACTATTGTGAGTATTAGCAATACCATAATGATGAAAGTTTTCAGATTATTTGCATGATAATTTTTCAGTTTTATGAAACAAGGTTTTTAAGTATTTTAAATTTTTAAGTAAGTCCTTGACATTTTATAAGCAAACAATTAATATAAAATATGCAAAACTGATATTGGGCATGTCGTTTACTGTGAACGGTTCCATAATAAACTTTTAAAATTGCTTTTTGTATTGCTTGAAAGAAAAAAAAAAAAATCAGTACAGTCCTGTTTACAGCTTTTTTTTATTTTTTGCGTAAACTCAGAAAAACTTGTTTAATATACTTTTGAGAATTATTACCATTAATAAAAGCACGGGATTAGCCTGATTTGCAATTACTATTGTTTCGATACTTTTTATTATATCTTCAAATTAATTTTTTTTTTATCAAGTCTCCTCCAGAAAACTCATTTTAAAGTTATTGAATACGGTATCATGGCAAATCATCGCACGCCGTTGCGACTATATTAGTAACGGGCCATTACTGGCGCGAGTCTGGCAAGCGATTCAAACAACTTTTTATGAACGGTAAATCATCGCAAGAAGTCGCAGCGGCGTGCGACGAAATGCCAGATCTAAATCTGGCATTTCGTAACAGAGATATCTCTGACAAACACTTTTTTATTTATTATAATATATAAAACATCCCAGTGGGCACCGGACCAAAAAAAGACGTCTTTTGAACGTTCAATAGACGTCCAAAACGTTCAAAAGACGTTCAAAAGACGTCTTAAACGTGTATAAGACGTTTAAAAGACGTCTTTTTTACGTCCGTGCCCACTGGGTTTTAATCTCAAGAAATGCAATTTCATCGACTAAATAAAGAATTTTAATTTAATTTTATAATTATATATATATATATATATATATATATATATATATATATATATATATATATATATATATATATATATATATATATATATATATATATATATATATATATATATATATATATATAAGATAATAAAGTATTTTGGTTGCTGCTACACAAGAGATAGTTTCTTTAATTTAAAGTTTTTAAAGTAAAAGAATCGCTTCACTCTCAATATTTTTGTCTAAAAAAATATTTTCTAGTTTAAGAAAGAGAGGAATGAGTGTGAAGCCAAATTGAAAATTTGCCCTGCTGGATCATTTATTTATGTTTCTACCAAAGATAAACAAATTATTTTATGTTAGTTTTATTTATCTTATTCATCTTACAATCATATTTAAGCCAAGATTATGTAAGTTATGTAACCTTTAACCTGTTATTAGTCTCAATAACAAGAGTTAAAAGCTTTAATTTAGATGAAACTTGACAGTATCCCTATTTGGGATCAAGTTAAAGATTTAATTGTAAAAAAAGAAGCCTCTTTTTAATGACATTAAAAAGAGGCTTTTTTGTTATACATTAATAATGTTAATAAATCAAATGATTGGTCAAAAACTGTGAAATTGATAACTGATCCAAGTGATTAGTTAGATACAAGTGAACAATGGTTACAAGATGACAATAGAGACAAGTTAAATAATGGCTTGCATTTATATAATATAGTATATTTTAATATAGAATAACTAATAAAACTTAATTCATCAAGAATCAATAATTGTAAAACAGCAATAAAATTGAACATTTTGCAATTAAAATTAGGTTAATTTTAATTGCAAAATTTTCAGCTATTACCCATGCCCTCCCCCCTAGAACCCGCCACTGTGTATAATCTCCTCTTTTTCAGTGGTTACCTTATGGCAACCCTATATATATATATATATATATATATATATATATATATATATATATATATATATATATATATATATATATATATATATATATATATATATATATATATATGTTGTTTTGTTTTTGTTTTGTTTTTATCAAAGGTCTCTGGATGAGTTAGTCTTGTACTATTTAAATTGACCCTTCCCAAAAATGTTATTGTAATATTTATACTATATTTAATATATTATATGTATAAGTATATGTGTATAGTGTATATCATATACATGTGTATGTGTATAGTTTATATCATATATTATATATGATATAATGATGTTTACTTACCAAATCTTTATCTTAAAGCAACATGTGGCAATATTTGTGTTAGACAAAAAAATTTGTTTAGTGAAAAGTATTTATATTTTTGACAAAATGACCTATATTGTGTACTAATAATTTTTGACGAAATCAAATTTTCTTACTTACTCTTATGATTCAAGTCTGTTAGGAATATTTAGCATTAAATTTAGAAAAAGTTGAGCATGTTGCAATTTTAAATGACAATTTTCTCCAGTGTATCTTGCTGCACTTGTAATAGTTTGTTGAATTTTGTACATTGTTTATTTTTGTTCTTGTTAACAAAAGTGCTTTATTATTTATTTTATTACTTATTATGTTGTGTCTCAAATGTTTTTTTTTAAATAATAACGTTATTATATTAATATTGTTTGTAAAAATATATTACATAGATAATAATTTAAAAAAATGACTTTGATCATATATATGACATCATCAAAATTGCTTTCGCTGAATTTAATTTTTTTTTCGATTATCAAACATAACAAAATGATCAATTGTAATTACACTTAATGTATATAATTTCTATTTTTTTTATAATCTATCACTACATTTAGCATATATTTTATTTCTATGAGAACGATAAATAAGTTTTATCATATTGTTAAATTTATTGATGAAAAAAAATTCAGTGACTGTTTTTCATGTAAAATGGATATCAATCAATCAATATATTTTTCGATAAAAGATCTTACAATCGAGGTCATTTACAAATAGTTAGAAACTAATCTTAAGTAAATACCATGAAATAGGATTGATAATACAAATAATGATAAGAATAATACAAATAATTATAATGATGATAAAATAAAAGTTATAAGAACAATAAAATTATATGATAATAAACCAATATTAATTTTAAAACAACAATTGAATATAATGCACAGACAGAAAAGTTACAAACAGTTGTGTACTGACAAAACATAACAACCTACCATGTAACTAAAACAATTACTGCAAAAAAAAGTTACAATAATTTAATAAAAATAATAATCCTAATATCAATAATCATAATAAAAAGGATAAAAGTAAATAGTCAGGGTTGGCAAAAACCCGGATTTTTTATAAAAAAACCGGCCCAGTGGGTTTTTTTGGGTTTTATTGGGTAAATTTGGGTTTTTTTGGGTTTAATTTTTATTTTGTTCCTGTAAAAATTTTTTTTGTGTTTTTGTTTAATGATATTGAAAATTAATATTATATTAAAATTTATATAGTATAGTATATTTTAATAAAGAATAACTAATAAGACTTAATTCATCAAGAATCAATAATTGTAAAACAGCAATAAAATTGAACATTTTGCAATTAAAATTAGGTTAATTTTAATTGCAAAATTTTCAGCTATTACCCATGCCCTCCCTCCCCCTAAAACCCGCCACTGTTTATAATCTCCTCTTTTTCAGTGGTTACCTTATGGCAACCCTATATATATATATATATATATATATATATATATATATATATATATATATATATATATATATATATATATATATATATATATATATATATATATATATATATATATATATATATATATATATATATATATATATATATATATATATATATATATATATATATATATATATATATGTATATATATATATATGTATATATATATATATATATATATATATATATATATATATATATATATATATATATATATATATATATATATATATATATATATATATAATTATAAAATTAAATTAAAATTCTTTATTTAGTCGATGAAATTGCATTTCTTGAGATTAAAACCCAGTGGGCACGGACGTAAAAAAGACGTCTTTTAAACGTCTTATACACGTTTAAGACGTCTTTTGAACGTCTTTTGAACGTTTTGGACGTCTATTGAACGTTCAAAAGACGTCTTTTTTTGGTCCGGTGCCCACTGGGATGTTTTATATATTATAATAAATAAAAAAGTGTTTGCCAAAGTTAGATATAACTAACCTTATAAAAAAACTTTCATTTTTTACGTAAAAAATGAATGTTTTTTGTAAAGTTAGTTATATCTAACTTTATTACCAACCGTTTTTTTTTTAATTAAATAAGCATCTTTTGCATAAAAGTTATGCTGATATGATATCAGCATAACATTTATACAAACCAAAGTATAATAACCAAACATTTATACAAACCAAAATATAATGACCTTTAGTTGTAATAACAAAATAAATCTTGTAAACGTTTAGTTTTGCTTTTATAGTACCATCATGGATAACGAAAAAAATATTTAAATAATGGCAATTATCGCAAAACGACATTCGGCCAAAACTCTCTTATCCACCGCAATCGGGCCAGTGCTGG